AAATATAAAAAGATTTTGGGAAGCTCAAAAGGGTTTTCAATTTTGAAAGTGACAAAAAGACTGCGTTACGAAAGATTTTCAGAGTCGCTACCTAGCATTTTAGTTTCGGTGTGCCAGGTCACCGTTTTTAAAATGATAATTTCTTTTCAAAACACATTTGACTCTTAAACCAGTTTGCACCAGAGTTCTAGATAAGGGGGTTCATTTGACTCGGGAAGAAGGTGTTAGGCATTCCCCGAGTCCCGTAACTAGTACGGTTGCGTACATGATCAAGTTGGCTTTTTAAATATTCAAATTGAGGTAAAATAAACACAGAAAAGAAAAATAAACACACAAGAGGCTCGAGGTCGTCCCTACCTAATAAAAGAAAAATGAAAAATAAAAATAAAATAAAAATACTACAAGTTCTACTTTCGGCCTTCAAATACAAATACTGCGGGGCATACCCCGGATAAATATATACGAAGTCTACGGAGCATTTCCCCTGCAAATGAACTAAAGGGAACGACCTCTCACCTTTAAAAATAAATAAAGCATTCTAAATTTTGCCTGCCCAGGTGTTGACGGCCTAACATGCTCCGACTAAAAATAATAGGAATAAAATAAAATGATATTAAACCCAATTCTATGCGTAAACTTATGACCAAAGCCTAGATTTCATTTAATTTCAACTGACGAGAGCCTCATCTTTTCAAATTTTAATGCCTCAGCCATATTCCAACTTTGTTCAAAATCAATTCCATGACCCATTTTCAGTTTTACTATAAACAAGGGTAACTTTTAGTCAAATATCTCCCAACTACAATTGATTTGAGTAAATCTACAAGCAATCAACTAAATGAAACAAGCACTTTGCATATGTAACTGAAGGATCACAAAATCGTATCACTGAACAAGCAACTAAAATTAAACAAAAATGAATGAGCAGAGAGTCGAAGAATTGAACATCAGCAGAATGTTATCTTCACTATTAATAAAAACAGCCCCGATTCTGCTACATCAACTTCATAAGTATTAAAATGTGACGACAAACTCCGATTAAAATCTGGTCGGGAAGGGAAAACAGGGACCGGATCAGAAACCACGATGGCAACGGAAACCCAAACCTGAACAACAGTCGCGCTTGAATGGCGCAAAACTCAGATATGGCAGTGTGTTTAGGTTGGTGCGGGAATCACGAGTAGATTCCTATTGATGCTCTTCCTCTCGTCACTCTTTTCTCTATATCCAGGTGAGTTCTGGTGGCGGGGATGGCGCCTAGCGGCGGCAGGAGGAGATGTGGTTAGGGTGGTGGCTAGTTTCGATGGTGAAGAAGGGGATAGGGCGGCGACTGATGGAGGTCGTTTGTGTATGGAGGTGGTCGAATTCCGGCGAGACAGCCGGAGGTGGACGGCTGGAGATGGCGAAGATGACTGGCGGCTGGATGGTTTTGTGAGATGGAGCTGGCATTTTTCTTTTGTGTGTGTTGATGCAGCTCGCCAGAGATGGCAGAGGTGGAGGAAGGTGGGGTAGGGTCGGCTGGATTTGGGGGGTCGGCGACAGTGAGTTGAAGAGAGGCGCTGGAAAATGGGGTTCTCTAGGGTTAGGGATCTTTAGGTTAAGAAGAACAAGAAGGTAGGGTTACGGTGGTTAAAGAGGAAGGGGAAGTGGGTTAGGTCTTGTTGGGCTTCAAAATTGGGCTCAAAGATAAAAAATGGACCTCTTTCATTAAAAATGGGATAAACCAATCCAAAAACTCACTCTTCCTTCTAAAGATGATATAAAATTTATAATATAAAAATGTAAAACTAATCCTAATTAATTAAAATAAATAATATTATATTGTGAAACTATTTTGGTATTTTTTCAAGATTATATAAAAATAAAAATTCTAATAAAATAGTATGACTACGAAACATTAATGAAACTATTTTTTTATAATTTTTATTTTTTGTGATAAAAATAAAGTAAAAGAGTCAAAACTAGTGAAATAGCGATATTAGGCCTAAACTAAATATTTAAATGCTAAAATATGTAAATCTTGGGGAGGGTCAAAAATTACATGTCTACACTAGGTACCGCTGTAGTGTACTCATGCCCTTTCTTGCACATGTTTTTCGTGTGCAGATCCAGGTTCTTCGGCTCAGCCATACTATAAGCGAGGCGAGGCGATCTTCAGGATTTCGAGGTATATCTGCGCGCGTCCGCAGACGGAGGAGTCCCTCTCTATTTTCTCTCTTAGCTATAGCCTTCTGTATTTTCGTTTGATTAGATATTCTAGAGTTAGAACATTATGTAGTATCCATAGCTTTTGATTTCATGAGATTCCGGGTTTTGAGAAGTTGTTTTCATTATTGTGAGCATCTATTGTATATGCCGAGCGGCATTTCTAAACTCTTTATTTATGTTTTCACTCGAAATTGTCAGTTTTGCATCTTATTTCCTTTTTCCGCCATCTGTTAGGCTTACCTAGTCGTAGGGACTAGGTGTCGTCACGACAGTTCATGGAGGGAGAACTAGGGTCGTGACATCGCTGAAGAGTATGACATGTTTTTATTTATATTCTCTTTCTTGTTAGTTCAATTTTTGGCAATATTCGAACTGTCGTGGAAGATTATGACATGTTTTAATATTCCCGTTTTAGTTTACCATTGCTTTAATTTATATTCGATTTTTTCTTATTTTATATTCAAGCTGTCGGGGAAGATTAGGGCATGTTTTAATGTTTATATCAAATCAATGAAGATTACATAGCAGTTATCATTTACATACATTTTAATCACGTAAATATATATAATCATCTCAAATTTCTTAACCATATAAATGGATGAAATTTGATACAAGCATCAAAATATAGATATATAATTAAAAAAGAAATTCTCTTACAAATAGGCATAATTAGAAATATCGTTTCAGGGAAGCAAGTATTATAATTTTTTCTTTTGATAATGGAGAAATCCCCGAAAAGCCAATGATAATGTTCAGTTTCAAACTCGGTGGATAAATTTCTCTCCTTTCTTTTCCCATTCTCCTAAATACATTGTAGTCTCTTAGTTATCTACTGATGACGCTAATCACGACCTAGAGTTACCACAATCTTCTATCAATTTATTCAACTTTCCACCATCACAAAAAGCTTATTACGCTTTATAAGATTTAAATGCTTCAAACATGTACATATAAGAAAATATAAAACCATGTCAATATTCACACATAAAAAATAAAAATAAAAAACCCCGTACACTAAAACAATCCAAAAAGTTGGAATAGTTATATGTGTGTAAGGTGATCCAGATACCATCATTATCAAATAAAATTGAGATGATTCAAACTGTAATAGGACTTAAACTTTTGTTATTTAAACCTGCAAAATAGTATGGATATAACTAATATACTTTCGTATATTCCTTTTTTCCCAAAAGCAAATATTCAATGAGGATCACCGCAATTAAAAAAGCAACTTTCTTATCTATTGGCAAGTACTACTTTAAAAAAATCGCAACAACCTTTGGAGTCATACTATTTATGGTTTCTTGATATATCCATGTCACAATAATAAGTCCTATAGACAACTTCGTTATCAGTATTATAGAATATAAGTCTGGATTCAAATTATATTTTTCTGATGCTGGAATTCTTTGTTTGATAAAGAAGAATTAATCTAAATAGTCGCTCACGCGCAATCACTTAAATTAAAAATAGTCAGCAAGAGAGAGAGTGTGTGTGTATCACGTATAATATGTGTCGAACCGTATATAATCAGTACATAATTTATATATACCAACTAAAAAATAAATAGTAAAGCTGACAACTATTTGAGTAAAAATCCTATTAATATGGCAAAAGCCTACATGGGGAAATTGGAAAGAACATGTAGGTTATGCTTATCTAATTATCTTATTAGTTTCTTTTGAATTATCCATCTCTGTTTTCGTAATATGATTATTTGAATCATTGAAAGTTATGTGTCATTTTAATAAGATGGCGATGTACAATTTATACTCTTATCAAATGGAAAAAGCAACATTGAATCTGAAGAAGCGAGCTCTATATATCAGATAGAAAATTATATTGTGCGCTAGCCTTGTACAGGGTTAGAACTCTTTTTTTTTTTTTTGGGTGAGGAGGGGGGGGGGGGGGGGGGGAATTTGACCTGAAAATCGACCTTGTTTCCATGGAAAATATAATTAGGAGGATTATTTTATGTAAAGAGGATTATTTTATGTAAAGATTAAATCAATCAAATCTTGCAGCTACTATATAAATATATATCTAGCATACAATATGATAATATATGCAGTCACGCCATGATTTTTTCTTCTATGAGATTGTTTCTAATGTCCTGACTTATGAAATATATAAATATGTAATTAATTATCAGTTCTCACAAACTTAACAATCTGAACTTACGAGGTCCTTTGGTTACTTCATTAGAAGAATTACAGATACTAGTAATATTTACCCATACTAAGCTATCACCAACAATGAGGATAATAATATCACCAATATATCACCAATATTAACAATATATATATATATATATATATATATATATAATTGTCTTTGTATATATATACCTATAATAAAATAACTTTAGATACTTAAAACCACCATGTCTTTGTATGGTTGATTCTTGTTGGAATTCAAACTAGGGCACTATACCACTTTATTGTAAGTTAAAGAAATGAATAACACTATCCAAAAATATAAAAACTTATAAGGCACAAAAGGATGGAATAGCGGGAAAAATATAAAACACACTAGTAATATTATAAATAGCTCCACTCTTACGACAACACACTGGTATAGCTATTGTTTCAATATTTTGAATTCCTAGTAACATGAACCATAACTAATGACCATTATATGATGACATAAAAGACACACACATAGGACTCAAATGGAAAATGAACTTAGACACTTATAAATCAAGTTTTTAATATTTAATCTTGTTATTTCCAATAATTCAATTATGCATGATAGATTTTGAAGTCGTAGGATTTTCCGGAATGACAGTCGAACTACTTGGGAACTATTGAAGAAGTAGATCCACTGGATCTGTTAGCATAAGGCACACCAAAGTTGAGTCCTGAAACCCTATTTTGAAATGGAAAAGAGCCATAAGAACCATATGAAGATCTTGCCCTAGCACTAGTAGGAGCCAAGGCACTTCCAAAGGCGAGAAATGGGAATGCATTACCAGTCACCATTTGTTGGTTTTGTGCCTCTCTTTCAACTTTCTTCTTTATGCATTCCATTGCCTCCTTCAGTTGTTGCAGTTGAAAAAAATTAAGTTCTTCAATTGGAGCTTCCCACCAATGACCGTTATCTCTCTTCCTTGCTTGTAGGGCTTCTCCGTGATTTTTTTCCATTAGGAGAATCCCCTCAATGTTCATGAGCTCCATATTGAGATCACGAACACTAGCATTTCGATGAGCCACAATGAGCTGGTTATGGTCATTATTTGGTGGAGAGTTCCTTGTGAGAAACCTATCCACCACTGAATCCACACAAGGGTGGCCAAATGAGTAAACTTTCTTGCCCGGGGAAAATACCACAAGGGCTATTTCAGCACCACATAGCGTACAAAGTTCACTAGCCTTCTTGAAGAGACCAGCACGACGCTTCGAAAAAGTCACTTGCAAGTTACTCTCATTTTGCATCTTTACCATGTCAATCTTTTGGCGACCCTTACTCCTTTTTGCCATGGCTAATTAAACACTCGAGATTTGAGAAAAAAAGAACCTGGTGATTTTAGTCCCAACAGCAAGTGCTTTATATAAGGTATTGTGATAGGAAAATGAATTAAACTAATTTGGGAGTCTAGAAACTTATGTTCTTTCTTTTTTTGAAGGATTTGAACCAAACCCATTTTGCCTCCATTCTTTGTTTCTTTGTCTCGCCAGCGCCAGTTTTTAATGATCATAATTAGACAATAAATATTTTCTTCGTTTGAGTTATGTTATTGGACTGCAGTTGGCCACCATTTTATTTGAGAACAAGTTGAAAAATAATACTCTCTCCGTTTCATATTGTTTGAGGTAGTTTGACTCGGCACGGAGTTTAAGAAAAAAGAAGAAGACTTTTGAAAGTTGTGGTCTTAAAAGCTTAAGGGGTAAAAGATTTGTGGGGTCATGCCATTTGTGTGACTATAAAAGCTTCTCATTAAGGGCAAAAAACGTAAAATGAAGAGTTTAAAGTTGAATTATTTCCAAATTTAAAAATGTATCATTTATTTTGGAACAGACTAAAAAGAAAAGTACCTCATTTAATATGAAACGGAGGGAGTATTAAAAAGAAAATACTAAATGATCCATATAACCTTTTATTTTGATAAGATGTTGTTTAACTAGGCTATTCTATTGTTCGAGCGAGGAGAATGAAATCAACTAACTTGGGAGTGTATAAATTTATGTTCTTTCTTTTTAAAAGGATTTGAACCAAACTCATTCGGTCTTCATTCATTGTTTCTTTGTCCCGGCAACACTAGTCCTTAATGATCATAATTACATAATACATATTTTTCTTAATTAGAATTATGATATTGGATTGCACTTGACCACCATTTTATTTGAGTAAATAGATTCAAAGAAAGAAAATATTAAATAGTCAATATAACTTTTTCTTTTGCTAATATGTTGTTTACATAATTGTAGAGATATATAATGTGTCAGATTAAGTGTAAGAGGGCGCTTATAAGAGTTATAATTTATTCCAAGTTAAAGTTTAGTTTTTTTTTATTACAAAATTCTTTCACTTGTCATGAGTATTAGGATTAGGTTTTATAAATGGAGTAGTAGAAACATATAACATTTCTCCCCGGAGTATCTAAAGCATCAATCCTGAGGAGTTTATTTTTTAAAAGTTTTCAAATTACTCACCAATTACTTTAAGATTTTAAATCGAAATGCTCAAATATTTTCATACTTTAATATGAGAAAGAGAATAGTTTCATTCACCTATCTAAGGCTTATGATGTAAGGTCATTTCCTACGCAAGACTAACAAGAAAATATCCATAGAACTAGACCAAACTTAAAATGTACATAAAATTAAAGTATCATAGGAGACATTTTTTACCTTCATTTTACATATGAACTTAATAAAACTTATACGATAAAAGGGCTATGTATTTTCATCACTTTCATATATAGAATGATGGTAATATATGAGGTAAACAAGATATTTCCTACAGTGCTTTACTATATTTCTAAATTTGATCTAGTTTATGGATATTTTCTTGAGTAGTCTTGCTTAGCTAAAACCTTCCGTCATAAGCCTTGTAACGATTCAACTGGTCGTTTTATTTTCTAGAACTCCGTTCCCCTAAATAATACTTCCTGTACTTTCTTTTACTGATTTATGACTTGCGGGAATGGTTGGTTCGGGATTTGGAAGAGTTTGGGTTGAAATCAGAATACTTGGTTCCTTAAGGTTGGCTTAAAAGGCCAAGTTTGACTTCGGTCAACATTTCGAGTAAACAACCTCGGAATCGGGATTTAAAGGTTCCAACAGGTTCGTATTTCGGACTTGGGCGTATGTCCGGATCGGGTTTTTGATGATCTGGGAGCATTTTGGCACCTAATAGTGAAAGTTGATTCCCTAAGGATTTTGAAGTTCATTAAATTTGGTTTGGAGTGGGTTTTTGTGATAACGAGGTCCGAACAGAATTCCGAGATAGAGAATAGTTCCGTAATGTCATTTAAGACTTGCACGTAAAATTTGGTGTCAATCCGAGTAGTATAAGTATGTTTTGGCACATTGGAAGTAGGTTGAAGAACTTGAAGTTCATAAGTTTGATTCAATTGGTTTTAGGGTGTGATTCTTAGATTTAGCATTGTTTCGGGCGTTCCGAGGGTTCGAGCGAGTCCGTTTTATTATTCCAAACTTGTTGGTATATTCGGGCGAGGCCCCGGGGGCCCCGTGCGTCAATCGGACGAGGCTCGAGCTAAGTTGAAAATTTGAGAAGGAGCCGAAGCTCCAGTTCTGTCATAACCGCACCTGCGGTTGGCCAGCCGCAGGTGCGACCTCGCAGAAGCGGATAACCCATCGCAGATGCAGCCCAAGGGGAGGAGCCTAGGTTCCGCAGATGCGGCTCTTCTTCCACAGAAGCAGAACCGCAGAAGCGGTCACTAGACAGCAGATGCGGCCCCAGCTGGCCCGGCCTAATTCCGCAGAAGTGGACGATCTCACACAAAAGCGAGACAGCAGATGCGGTCCCCTAACCGTAGGTGCGGAAATCGCTGAAGGCAGTGGTTTTCTTTTAATATGGGTATGTGTCATCTTTGACACATTTCACTCCATTCTTGGGCGATTTGGGAGCTTCAAAAGGGGAGATCTCAACCTAGCTTTGTGAGGTAAGTTATTTCTACTTAATATGAGTTTAATACGTATTTTATGGGTAGATTACAACATGTAAATTAGTGAAAATCACGGGATTAGATTAAAACCTAGGGTTTTGATAAAAACAAGATTTAACCACGAAATTCGCTATGGAATGAAGTAAAAATCATATATTCTTGATCCTTAGGTTATGGGTAACAACTTTCTTCAAAAATTTCCGGAAACTGGGCACGTGGTCGGGGGATGAATTTTAGGAACCTTGCATTTAGGGTTGGGAAATTACTTTAATAGCTAGAATATGAAATCTTGAGCATGTATTGACTAGTTCTTACCTCATTTGAATAGTTTTGGATCGTTTGGCATCGATTTGAGGGTTTGAGCGCATTCTTGAATTTGGAAGTAAGCTTTGGGGCAAGGTAAGTCTCCTTTCTAACCTTGTAAGAGGGAATTAACTTCATAGGTGAACTATTAAATGTATGTGACTATATGTGGGGCTACGTACGTACGTGCTGACGAGAGTCCGTATGTAGCTACTATTATGCTAATTGTCCGGGTAGTTTAGGACCCGTATCATGCTATATTTGCAAATGCTTGCATCCTTACTTGCTAGTAAGATCACTTAAGTCATGCTGGAAATTGGTAAACAAATATAGATGATTAAACTCACTTACTTGAGAATTTGCATGAATTACTTGATTATAATGGACAATGTGTGCTTCCTTGAAAATTGTTGATACCCAATTTTTCGCTATATATTTTAGCTATGCATAAATACCTTCAAAATAGCATATACATGCATATATAGGCATGCACAAGACTTTTATAATTTTTTCATTATTTTAAGGATTTAAATTGATTTATTTCCTTCCCTTTTTTTCATTAAATCCCCAATAATCATTTCCCAAATTATTGTTATGATGATTTATTCATTTAATTTCTATACTTATGCCAAAATACGGTTAATATACTTTTTATGCATTTTTATAATCGCATTTGGTATTTTTAAACTAAATTGCATATAATTGCAATGTTAGCCCATTTAATGGATAATTACATTTTTTTATATGCGTAAAATTGGTCCATATATTTTTAAAATGATAAATATATATTTTAAATCATTTTGGTGCACAAATTTGTTTTTTAGAAATTGTTATTATGTATTATAAATTAAAATAGGGAAAATTGGCTATTTATATTATAGCCAGATTTGGCTTTCAATTGTAGCCTAAATTGAACCCAACCCCAGCCCAATTTCCTACCAAATTACCCGACCCAAAACCTATATACACTTACCCAAACCCGGAACCCATCTACCCGATAAAATCTTGGCCGTTGATCTCCCAGATCAACGGTCCATACGATCCCTTTCCTTTTTTAATTCAAACGACCCCTAACCCTAGTCATTTTCCATACAGGCCACCGCCCTCAGATGCTCTCATCTCCTCTCTTCTCTCAATCTAACCCTAAACCCTTTTCAACCGCCTCCCTTCTCCGGCGACCATCCTTCAAACCCAAGCCTCCAATGGTTCAACCACTGCCTTGCTCATCCTCTCTGAGGCCTTCAAGGGCCCTGAGCCACGCTGACTTGTATCTAGGGTTATTGTTTTGGGTGTTCATGGCTACTCCGCTGTGATTTTGGGCAAAGTCACACTATATTTTCTACGATCTTTGAAGTTTTAAGCAGGTTCTTCCATCTCTATTTGGGTTTCTTTTGAAACCCTAATTTTCGTTTGTATCTCTTAAATCTGCGCTATTTTTTAAGGATTCGAGTCTGTTCTTTCTATGTTTTACAGTGTTCTCAAACCTCTTTTGCAAAAAATCATCGATTGCGAGTTGTTTTACTTTCTTTTAAAAGTTAGGGTTTTCGGAACTTTTTCTACACTCTACTTAAATCGATTCTTCATGTTTAAACCTCTATCCTTCGCATATCTCGACTGGTTCTGTGTTTTTCTCCTTCCTCAACTCGTCTATGTTGAAAACCTTAGTTCTTGGTCTTAACCCTAGGTTCTGAGTCTGTATTGGATGATTTGTTCGTCTAATCTATATGCTTGCTTGTTTCTCATGAATCCCTGATTTTGTGTGATTTTTACCCTACTATGCTATTAGGCTTTCTGATTTTTGCCTCTTCTTGCCTATTGTGTGTTTATTCCGTTTGTTCATAGAAATTTATGGTAATTTCCCCCTAAATCAGTACTATTATCCCTCGGAATCCTTGATTCCCTGTGATTGATATCCTTCTAATCTCTTGTGTTCCATACTGATTTTGAACCTCTAAGTTATTTTTCTCGCCTTATTTTATGGTCGACTATGCTGTCAACTGACTCTTATGTTATTTCCTTAATTGGAATGTTATGTACTTAGGCTTA